CATGGGGTTATCGGAAAAGTTAATAAAAACAGCTAGTACTTTAAGTATCAAAAAAAGGACTTATGCCATAGTCCTGTACTTCGAGTGGTTGCATTGAACAATTGAACGATAGTAAATCCAAGGCAAATTCCAGGAGTAGTACGAAGAGATGATTACAAGTAACAAAATGCAAGTGGGTGAGTGCGGCATCCAACCGATTTTTAGATATAGCTAGTGCCGGTGCAAAAACGACTGATGCAAGGGGGCATTCCAGGGGTGACATAAGCGAATAAAAAAGGAATTTCTGCGGCAATCCAGACGGATGTACTGTTCTGTTAGCTTCATGGAGTGACCTCCCAGGTTTGTATTACTTCTGAGTTGCAGTAAGGAGCGGCAACTATGGTGTGGATCGCGCAGAATTAAGTAGGTCATTATCAGGTTGGCTCGTAATCTGCGATATTGTTCGCTGTATACCCCAATCGTTTCAGCCTGTGATTGTATGAAGGATTGTGCATTCTAATGAGGTATTTGGACGCCCGACGTTGAGGCTGCTCCAGTGCAAGGAGGTCACGTTTGAGCCATAGGTGTCAGGCATAAATTACTTATTCGACATGGGGCGAATATACGCCCTGAGCACCTGTCGGAAAATAGAAGTGTCTGTTTGTCGGAACGCATGTCGCAACCGCCCGAAGTGTTGGTTTACAGCTTTCGAAGCCTTTTCGGATTGCCTGGAACAACCTAAATAACCCTGAACCAGCACACCCAGTTCACGTTCGACGGAAGATCACTGCAGTACTTGCGTTCCGATCCTGCATGAGTAGATGCTCTGGTGCCGTATGTAGAGTACCTTGCAGGTACTCAAGTTGAATCGCAGTAACTTTTTGATTGACTATTGATGTCGCTTGTTTAGGTCACACTGAAGCATACGATGATTGGTATTCACTTGACTCCTGAACCATATCTTAATGTCGTCAGCAAGCAGTAAGAAATTATAGGCGATTATCTGTGCGAGGTCATAAATAGATACCAACAACAATAATGGTTCTAGAACTGAGGCTTGCAGCACACCACACTCGATTTATATGGGGCCGGATAAGAAGCTGAGAACTCTGACCAACATTTGCCGTTGAAGAAGGAAGTTGGTGATCCAGCTTAAAAGAGGGTCACTGATCACGCAATACTGGAGTTTGGAAGGAAGTATCCGCTGATCTAGACGATCGAATACCTTCGAAAAGTCCTGGTACATCACATAAAGGTCCTCTCCAGCGTCGGATGAAGCCGTCTAACTACTCCAGGCGATTAATACATTCGTTGTGCATGATCGCTGTAGACGGAAGACGTGCTGCTCGGGAGTAATGATGTTTTAGCTTTCCAGATAGCACATCAGCGTATCGCCAACAGTGGATCCTATGAGCTTGGATAGTATAGGGAGGAGATACACTGGGCGCTAGTTTGAAGGCTCAGTCCTGCTTTTGCCTTTCTGAATTGGAGTTATTATTCCAAGCTTCCACATGTCAGGAACCTGGTTCTGATATAAGTAGTGCTGGATGAACTGAGTGGTAGGTTCCGCAGCATGCGACGCTAGCGAAACCTACATCCACACTAACAATATTGTGTGACCGGATGATTAAAGTCGAAGGAAATCCATTAAGCATGCACCACACCGGAAAACATCATACTTACTCAACGCGAGAAGCACTGACTCGGCGCTCACGCCCGTCGCCTCCGGTACCTGAAAGTACAGTACGTTTCCCGTCCGGTCCAAGCTGTAACAGAAACATGCAAACGAAAACGAATCAGTGCGCGGCTTTTGAACATGCTTTAAAAATATCTATTTCACTGCTTTTACTTTCCTCACATCAACTGTCAGTGACGGAACCCCATATGAGAAACAAGAACTGAACAACAAGCAGCGCAGCACTGAGAGTCATATCCGATCCAGATACTTGAAAGCGAACAGTTATTGGGGGCTGGTTAACGAGGTTGTTCGTCTCATTATTGTTCTATGGGGCTTAGACCAACCTGATTACTAGCCAACAGAAGTTTGAACAAGACGAGTGAGTGAGCAAGTAGAAGAAATTTCGTAGGGCCAAGTGACATTCGCGTGCTGTTGAAAAGCACGGTAAACTGATGAATATTGGTAGCTGTATACATTTCATTTGCGTATACATTTAATTTGTATATACATTTCTTATAGGTTTCATTGAGGTCAGTAACAACAATTTGTATGCACTAGTTAGCGACATCCATTTCGGATCTGCGTACCAAAGTGGCTGCAAACAATCAGAAGAATCTTGCATCCAAGAGGGGGTTATGAGTGGCTTTCGCTGCACTAATCATAGCTCCATCCACACACGCCATATCCGGTGCTAACCCGAAGGAATAAAGCCGAGAGGCGCATGCGAAAACCCCAAGATTGATTCGCAGCCGTCTCACACTTCAACATGCAAACCGTTCATGTGAAATAGGGCAGATATGCATACTCGACGCACACAAAGCAGTGGTTGAGCGTAACCCGTTTGTGTTGACTGCCATCGGACGATATAGTTCTTATTTTACTGTACTAACATAGTCAGTGCAATTGTGCTTTGGCTAATACGATCTATACCTGCTCTCACGGTGCGTTATTACTTCCGCGTTGATGATAGCTCTGGGTCTGAGGTGAGTCTATTCCTATTCCGACTGGTCCCAATAAAGTCTATTCTTACTGTTTCATAACACACCTTGCAATTGCACACTGCATAGGCCTACTTCTAGAACTTATCACAGTCACGAAGATTGTATACCCGGTCTTTCCCACCAATGCTTATACATGTCCTGAGGTCAGTAATTGTGGAAGTGGGGTATATCGGTAAACATTTTGCCAACATTGACATCAAGCACACTACACTCGGGATATCAGTGGGTAAATATTGCCAAACATACAACACATGCTTAAAAGCAAAAGCGCAACCGGGCATCAATGATGATGCAGTACACATGTCGCGTCCATCAGATTATCGGCCATAGTGAATGAATTCGAACTCAGCATACCTGTAATGTTGACGCTCGTGCACTTTAACGGGCAACTCTTTCATAGAATTCTCCTCCACAAACTTCAGGTCTATAGCCTTGGTGACCCACTGCCGCGTTGGATAGACAATTTCCTGTACGAACGTCAGCTGGAAGTGAGAGTACGAGAATTCCTGTCCGACGCAATTGCGGTGGAGTGCGGCGTACCACCAGCTTCGGTGCTCAAGCCCCGTCAGTTCTTGATTTCATAAACGATCTAGCGAGGGCAATTACTTCCGATTTCCTATTTCTTGCGGATGATATCAAGTTATGGCTAGGGATCAAAGAACCGAACGACCATGAAAAGCTCCGGCGTGACCTCAACACGATTTCAATCTGGTCGGTTTTGAATACCCTTGCTGCGGACAGCATTCAGAACATTCGACCCATCCACCTTCCCCATGATGCACAATTCTTATGTGCGCCCTCACACTGAATACGCCATCCAAGCTTGATGGAAGCGTGACTTAGAAGTACTAGAGAAACCCCAACGCAAGGCCACAAAGAACGTCAAGAGCCTACGAAATCTGTCCTACCATCAAATCCTGAAGTCACCGGGAGTTTTCAGTGGCCGCTACCGAAGGACGCGCGGCGATCTCATATTACAGAAGAGTAGCAGGGGGAGTTGAATGTTATAAGTAGAAATTTGTATATTAGTCTAGCAAATATTGTGTGACCCTAATCACCTAGGCCATCACTTGCTGAAACTCAGCCATAACACCAATCTCAGAGGTAACCCTCTGAAATTGTGTGCACAGCTTAGCCGCCTGGAATGCCGGCGGAATTATTTTTCGCTTCGGGTTTACCAACCCTGTAACTCTCCCCCAAACTTCGTTGTTTCCTCCCCCACATTGTATATTTTCTAAGAACGGTTGGATCTTGCCCTTGGCCCATAATTTCCTTGCCTAAACTGTGCAACTTTGGAAAATATTTATTTTTCCTACAAACCGGATTAACATGTTACATAAACCTAAGAATGCGGGTCAGAACTAAATATTCTCGTTTTAACTTCTTACTTTTCTCACGGGTTGCAACAACGATAACTGTCCCCATTTCGGCTCGTCGTTGGCATTCAATTCCCAATTACACTACTATTATTCATAGTGTATCAGCCAGATAAACGCTCAGACAATGCACCTAACTTCTGCTAATTTTAGCTTTACCCCAGCCATCCTGCGGGACTCGTCAAGCAACTGCTTTTGTACCCGATATAAATGCATGTTCATTGTTCATTGTCACGTTTCCAATTTGCCTGGAAAAGCCGAGTGAGGAACGCATGACCACAGGTGCTACCAGATAAAGCTGATTTCTTCCACAAGCTGGACTTCATCCGCAACTATGGTTGGCGGCATCCGGTTTCGGATGTGCCAGTCATTGTGGTCTCCACAGGACGGCCACAGGACGCCTGCGCCACCAGAGAGACCATGTATGGCTTGCGCTGCACCACCCACAGCTCCATCCACACACCCCATATCCAGTGTAAACCCGAAGGAATAAGACCGGGAGGCATGTGGATGGGAGCCACGTTTCATCAACGGAGCCGGCCCACACTCCTTCACAGGCAAACACAAGCACGCTGTATTTGGGAATTCAAGCGTACACAAGGCGGTGGCTGGACCGCAGTCCGTTCCATACTGAGTGCATGGAACCACTCTTCGAGCCTAGCACGACCCCAAGGACCGTGCACCCCGTCCCCTCTAGCAATGACCATCTGTCTCCTGGAACCGGTGTAGAAGAGGTAGTGGGTAGGCACCTTGTCAACATGCCCATCAAGCGCCGCCACACCGGAGATATCAATCAACAACCAATAACTTGAAACGACAAGATGAAATAAAATAAATCCCATAATGCATACAAATACGGTGACATACCTCCGCACTAAATGAGAGTATAAAATAAATTAGTTATGAACAAATCCGTGATAAGTTCAAGTGGCCTGAAAATATATTTTAAGAAAATGCCACAAACGAGAAACGGTTATCAAACTTAACTACAATTCGCTTAAACATCGTGTGCAAGTTTATAGAAGATAGTTCAGGTAGACCTTAATATGAGATAAAAAAACATTAGGACAATATAGCAAACCACCACCTGAAATAAAGAGGCTCAGCATGCAAACACGCGGTTAGTAAATCGAATGCAGCATACCTACAAACGCTGCGCCGGTTCTGTCTACAATCTCTGCAGGACCCGTCGTCGCTTCGGTGGTGGTCCCGAGTGGTCTCGCTTATGCCTCAATAGACCTGCCTGACTCAGGCGCTCGCGACCGCACGTGCTACAGCACCCTGTGCTCGATGTCGATTGAGTACAACCCATCGGCTCCTGCCGCTTCCGCAACTGCTGCTCCTTCTTCTCATGCACGAGGAGTTTCTCCTGCACCTTGGAAACGGTCTTCGTGATCAAATTGAGCCATGCACGCCGACCAACCGCTTTCGATTCCCATGACCTGCAAACAAGCTTAGAACGTAAGAGACTCACTTTGATTATGTCCTGGTAACGAAGCTTCGATTTCCCCACATGCCGCTTCCCAATACTAATCAGCACTATGAATTGGAATACGTCATTCCTTACTCACAACCCTACTGTGACTACACATGAATTTATGAACAATATTGCCCTTGCTGTGGATCTACTGGCACCTACTGTATTGAGAAATACCCATGAACATAGTGGTGAACTCAAGCTTCTGTCCAAAGCCAAAATCAAACTAAAGAAACTTAACTCGCTATACCGCAGGAGCAACAGCTTCGCAACATTGCTACAAATATACAAGAAGTTACTACATTTACAAAGTCTAACCTAAACGGCCAAAATCAAAGAAGAAAGTCGGGTACTCAGAAATCCTGAGAAAGTACTAAATTGATGCAACGTCTCAAAAGAAGGAACCCTAAACCACTTCATGAAATTGAAACGTTGGCTCTAGACGATGGTTCAATAACGCGTGACATCTCCTATATATGTGAGGCTAGGAACCCTAGTTTTGCCAACTCTCTTGTCCCCAACACTCAGCCATTTCATCCTCCACTTCCAAAAAGAACGACCGTAGTATACTGCAATATCCCTGTGACGTTAAGAGAGGTGCAAAGTGCCATCGCAGCCATAAAACCACCAACTCGTCCAGGTCCAGATGGCATCTCCCCAACTGTTATAAAACTCGGAGGAAGAAACCTCGCTCTATGGCTATTAAACATCTTCACACTTTTACTCACTACCGGCTGCTTTCCAACTCAATGAAAGCATAAAACATTTGTTCCCCTTCATCCATTTCGTCAAAACAGAAAGAAGACAATGGTTGCGATATGTCAACATTTCGATTGTTCTCATCAGTCGCAAACACAATACTAGCAGAAACACAGACACATTTATCTACATGGGAAAATATTGGCACACTAATGAAGCTGTCAAAATCAAGACCAAGGCAATCTGATTGATTGCCTCAAGAGTTTCTGTGCACATAACACAGGTTGGTAAGGGCTAATTAGCAACGCTTCACTGATTGCCAATCTTATCGGGTTCCTGTTACGTACTAACACGTAACGTAACGTACATAATAACTGCTAGTGCAAACGACAGAGAAAAAAGCTGTTTATTTGGTTTTGCCGTTTAAAGGGGACTATGTGACAAATGATATCGGACACAAGCTTAGGTCCGCCCTAAATCGCACATACACGACTGCCCAGTTGCGCCTCATGCACACTACCCGGAAACTGGTTCT